CCACAACAATAATAATAACAACAATGACATGGAGCAGGTGGGTTTAAATAAAGAGCAAAATTGGAAGGTGGAACAGTTAAATAGAAAGAAGTAGATAACGAGATTTTTTGTATGTTTCACCGTACAAATTTTGATATTTTTTATTTGTTTTTTACGGGTCACGAGATTGCTACAGACAGACCGTACAGCATTCGCGCCACAGTTCTATTCTGGGCCACATCTCAGCCTCTCTAACCAACGACAATTCTCATCCCTTGGGCCCCAACCTAGGAGGTGGGCTGCACCAGCCAAAGCTGAAGCCAGCTTCTTCATGCCTCTACGCCATGTTATGTTATACATGTCCCAACCAGCGCAGTTCATGAAGGTCTGCCATTTGCTCCAGTGGACGACCGCGATTACCTAAAGCTACGCATAACCTCGGCGTTGCTCGTCCAGTTGCTTCTCAGGATTCGTGCAATGCTGCATAGTCAGTGGTGTTCAGACACCGACAGTGTCTTTATCCTGTTTTCTTAATGGTCAAGTTTTTCGCCGTATAGCAGAACTGACCGAACTGCTGTCGCATATTCTCTACCCGTCACGGAAAGGGGAATGTCGCGGCGGCTCTACAGATGTCTCAAGTTGGCAAATGCCAATCGGACATACTGTACGCAAGCCGACACATCCATGATGCGTCCATCGGGTGAGATATAGCTGTCCACGTAACAAAACTTATCCGTTTGCTCTATTACTTCTATATTTAGTGAGGCTGGGTGCTGGACCAACCCAGTCTTAAAGCAACATTTTACACTTTGAAGGTGCAAACCGCACACCGAACATGGCTAGACTGCTGTTCAAGCTGTCCAGGAAAGTTTGCAACTTACCTGGATTTTCACTTAGCAGCACAGTATCGTCTGCATACCCCAGATCAAACGGTCTTCCATTTAGGCGCAAATCAATGCGACTACCCTCGCACGAGAATAGAACTGTTTCCATAATCAAACCTTTAACAAGGTTAAATCGAAAAGGGGAGATGGGGAAACCCTGACGTACACTACTTTCCGTGGGGAACTCAGGCGGGAAAGTGCCGTAAGCTCAAACTAGAATGGCTATTAATATACAGGGATCGTAATATTGAAATAAGCTTCTCGGGTCCACCCTTCAGTGAAAGGCAGCGCCAGAGTTTAGAGCGGTCGACTGAGTCGAAAGCCGCTTTCAGATGGAGGAAGACGGAGACGGTAGGTCTACGAAAAGAATGCCGATGCTCCAGAGTTTGGCGAAGAACGAAGATGTGGTCGACATTACCTCGAACAGGTCTAAAACCGGCTTGGTTCTGACGTGTGCACTGTTACCGTGCGGCAGATTATCGACGGAGTATGATACCAGCGAGAAGTTTGGATGCAATGTTGATT